AATTAATTATTTAATAATTATATTATTTATATAAGTAGTTTATAAAAAAAGTATTAGCTAATAAGGCTTATTAAAAAAGCAGGGCTAGTCTTAAACTAGCTATTTTAGTAAAGCTAGTCTTGTATAAACAGCCTAAGCTACTATTACTTTATTTACAGCCTTTATAATTAATCAGCTAAGCATGGTCCAGGCTGTTAAAATCCCTCTGGTGTGTTAAGGCTCTACTAAGGCATTGGTAGGGATGTGTATCCAATAAGAAGCCAGACTTAGGGGGTATATATATTAAATACTGGTAAACTATATAATAGTAAAGGTTATTATAATAGGTTGAAATTTAAGGTGATATTAAAGTCATCCGAGGTTGCTAGCTGCCTACAGGGGTGTTAAGTAGCCTGTGACCCCACTGCAGCCTTAACACACCAGAGGGAATGAGGCCATGTCTTCAAGAAAAGCAAGCATTATGCATCATTCAGGAAATGATGAAAGGATTTTATTGACCGAGTATTCACCGATCTGCCCACTCAGCGGCAAGTTCCATCATCGGGAAGTTGTATGGTATGAGACTGTACCAAGCTAAAGGATAGGAGTAAAAGAACAAGAAATATACCGTCTGTGCGTTCATCGTGGAGACCAAGGCAGACCAACACAATTGGTCATTCATGGGCCGCTTTGCCTACAATACAACCCCTGAACTATTGTCACGCAGATACCTGACATGGGTAGGTTAAACCAATTAAATATTAAGTAGCTTATATTAAATTACATATAGGTACATAAATAATTATATAAATTCTATATTAAAAAAAGTCCCTTTTAATAGAGCCTAATCCCCTGCTAATCTACCAGTACCTGCCTATCAGGCTTAATAGGCCCAGAATATTATACCTGTTAAATAATATAAATTGCGGTTAGAAGCGGGGCTAAGTATCTTTTTGTTAATAATTCAGGGGTTGTATTGTACGCCTAAGACCACTCGTTTGTTGGCATCAGACCCTGTTGATAACTCCCCTGTCAAATGGAAAAGATGATAGGAGTTCGACTACTACTCCGTACCGAGTACACAGACCAGAGACGAAAACGGATGTGAAAACTTTACCTCCATTCCGAGAATCGCACACTCACTCCGTACACAACAACGAGGAAGACATGGCAAGGCCCGAAGTCGGGCGCAGCAATGGCTGCCTCAGGCCTTCAGACCTCACCGAATTCTTGTATTTATAGACCACCTTTAGTCCATGGAGCCATCGCTCTCGCTATCCATCACTCTCGACGCTTCATCTCTCATTATCCAGTCTTCAAACTACATCTGCTCCTAGCGTCAGTTCCAGCAGACGCTTTTCCCACTCGCGAACAAGGCCCTGGCCATCCGTCATGGATCGCCCAACTATATCGATATTCATTGCCCGTATATCGGAATGCAGCAGTCTGGAAAAAATGCGGCTCCCGCAACTGTGAGGACACCCCATGAAAAGACGGCTAAATGTAGCCAATGAAACTAATGGTATGAAGGAGGAGAGAGTACTGTTGAGCGTAGCGCAGGTCAATCTGATGAATTCGGGGGCGCGTTGGGACTCTTTCTGCAAACACTTACGACATATGACAATGCCCTGGCGAATCATCGCAATTCAAGACTTTGTGCCCGATAACCTCGTCTACCCATCTAGGCTAGTTAAGCGCCATTACAACGTCTATGTCGAGCGAACCGGACCAGTACTTGACGACAATCATGTGATGCACAGAAATGCAAAACCTTTGAAAAAAGTTTGTCCCCTCAGCTACAAGTTGTAGTGAAACTCTAGACGTGATGTATCAAACTAACATTGACGCATTTCCCAGTCGCTAAAACGTAAGAGGGGAGGAGCCAAGAAACAGGCTGAGCCATCAAAGAAAAAAGGCCTTGGTCCACCCCTTGTCAATAACAAAGTTGCCTTCTTGGTCGCAAAAAATATCCCCAAGGAAGATTGGCGCGTAACAATGCCGGACTGGGGAGGAGGCATGGTGGCTTCGCTGAATCTCGAAACGCCAGACGGACCCATGAGAATTCACAACGTCTATAATAAGACACAGGCCGGTACCACAGCCTTCTTTCAAGAGCTGACCATGCACTGCTGCGGCGATAATGACATCTTGATTGGAGACTTCAATCTCCATCACGAGCTGTGGTCAGGTCCTTCGATTAAGCCAGAAAAGGTCAGTCTCGCTGCCAAGAAACTCGCCGACAAAACCCAAGAAGCGGGCATGATGATGTGCGTCAAGCCTGGGACCGCGACATATACCAAGTCCAAAGACAACCCGTATGAATCAACTTTGGACCTCGTCTTTGTTGGCAAAGCATGGTGTAGCCCAGAGCCAGTCTGGTCTGTTCTGCAAGTCACCGGCTTCGACGAAAGCGATCATCGCGTTTGTGAAACTTTGATTGATGCCACGCCGAGGGTCGACGTCAACATCTTTAGGCTTTGGAACCAAACAGACACGAAGAAGTACCGGGCTGACGCCAAAAGATTGACGGAACGGGTGCGCCTCATGCCGTTGAAAAAACGAAGCGAAATCGACGATTCACTTGCGGCATTCACCTCTGGCTTGGAGGACGTGATCCAACAATGCGTACCGAGTCGCGATAGCTACCAGCATGAACCCCCAAAACCAACGCCTCATCCAAATGCCACCGCAACACCCAGGCTGTGGGGAATTTGGCAAACGGCGAGGTGGCCGAAAGACCGGTCCAAACCTGTCGTACAGTCTTTCACCCCGGACTTTGAGTGCGAGGGCGAGAAAGCATCCACCCCCGAGGCAAAGGCCGACATGTATGGTAAAGCCATCTACGGCCCAGGCAAGCTCGACAGATCGACAGCAGTCGATCCCCTTCCAGTGGAGACGTACGAAGCACCACATACATCCCTTGACGAAGCAGACTTCCACTTCTGCGAGGAAGGCGAGGTTGGGCGTCTCATTAGCATCCTGCCGAAACGCAAGTCCTCGGGAAGCGATGATATCGCAAACGAAGCGCTGAAGATGGCAAAAGACATCATCACTCCGTATTTAGAAGCGTTATTCAAAGCGTGCGGCCAGCTAGGATACTTCCCAAAGTACCTTAAAAAGTCAAAGTCCATCCTCTTTTTCAAGGAAGGGAAAGAGGCAAACGATCCCAAGGCCTATCGCCCCATCTCGTTACTGTCAAGCATTGGAAAGCTGTTTGAAAAGATGATTGCAAACAGATTGATCAAGATACACAAAATGTATTGTTCTGATGATCCAAGAAATCCGTTGCCTTTGATGCAATTTGGCGGTCTACCTGGCAGGTCTACAACTTTGGCTTTGCAAGCCATCGCATGTTTTGTTCAAAATGCATGGAGATGGGAAGAACCCAATCGTAGACAAAGACGATTGATGAGACGCTTCGCCAGCATTTTGGGACTCGATATCTCGGGTGCATATCCACGCGTGGACCGCGACGCACTCATCAAAGCCCTGGTGTCCAAGGGCATCCCTTTATACATTGTCAGATGCATTCATTCTTTTCTGTGTGACCGCAAAACCACTCTCCTCATCCCCGGCCACGGGCCTCAAGAATTCTATGAGAATGGGGGCCTTCCACAAGGAAGTTGCCTGTCGCCCATTCTGTTCCTCATCTTTGCCGCACCTCTCCTCGAACCTCTCGGACCCCTCGAAGGATTCGAGGGGTTTGACGTCCAGTTTATTGCTTTTGTGGATGATACCTATATTCTGGTTGCTTCAAAAAGTTATAGGGAAAACTGTCGAATTCTGGAAATCGCACATCAGAGGCTGATTGATTGGGCTGAAGCGCACTCTGTCAAGTTCGGTCCCGAAAAATACAACTTTATGAACTTTGTATATCCTGAGGGGGGGAGAACCAACCAGGCACAAGTCAGGGAAAGGCCGAACATCGAAGGTCTTCCCCCGGATGCAAAACTCTTCGAGAAGGAGTGGCTCAAGATCCTCGGCGTGAAGGTCGATCACACACTCTCATGGAAGCCACAAGTGGAGAGCGTCCTAGAGAAGGCGGAAAAGGCGAGGCAGCGTTTGCAGTGGACGTCTTCGTCGGTACGGGGGCATAATCTTGGTAATATGCGTCGGATGTATGTTGCCATGGTGCAAAGCATCCTCGCCTACGCTACTCCGGCCTGGGGTTTCAGACCACGGATTGAGAAGGATTATCCCCACATGCACATTAGCGCCACCCTTCTCCATGATCTGGATAAGTGGCAGCAGCGGTGCCTGCGGTTCATAGCGGGCGCCTTCAGAACCTCGCCACACATGGTCATATACAAGGAGCTCTTTTTGCACAAGCTGTCGGACATGATTTACTACAAGGCCCTTGAGCATTATGCATTAAATGCCACATCGGTACACATGGCCATGTTCCACGGAGACCCGCAAGGTGTCGAGAAAGGGGCGCTTTGGGCAATTGCCAAGGAAGCCCAGCCGCTGTTGGACGCTGCCAGGGAGCGATTCGAGAAAAAGCACGATCCAAAAAAGAAACCCGGGGCGTGGGAAGACGGTAAATACGAAAAAGATCGCACGCAGGCTATTAAAAACGAGGCCAAAAAACAGCTCCACCATTGTTCAGCCACCGCCTGGAAAGCCTACCAAGCCAAATATAAATCCGACTTTAGTCTGCACAACTTTGCTCTGAAGGGAGACTGGAGCGCCAAGCACTTGGAACGCTATAAAAAGCTCAATCGCAAGCAGTGCTCCATCTTGCTCCATTGCCGCACAGGCTTCATCGGCCTTTCAAAGTATGTCAGCATGGTCAATCACAACATCCTGCCCAGATGTCGCCTTGGTTGTAACGCCGACGAGACCGTCAAACACTATTTTGAACGATGCACACATCAGACCATGGTTGAGGCCCGGGACCAGCTACAGTCGGAGACTGGGGAGAGCGATACGGGCCGGCTGTTGGAAAACCATCCTCTCCAGGCGGCTAATTTTGCGCTCAAGTACTTCAACATAGAGCAGTTTTCGGGAAAGAAACCGCCCCCTACCAGCCAACCCTCCAAACAGGGGGGCGGTGCCTCCGTAAAGCGTGGCCGTTGACTTGCCGTTGGTTGAGGTCTGGCCTGCTTGCCACCGATCATGTTGACACCGGTGTTGGGGTGAGTTTCTGTTGAGGGGAACTGCGTACGCCGCATAAAAGACAATGGTAAGACGAATGACAACTTGGTGTGGAACTCATGTATATGTGTAGGCAGAACCAAATTATCAATACAATTACCTACGATACGAATTGCGCCCCATTTTACCTATTGTTTACTTCGCGGACAAAGCTATTTGTCCCCTCCGGAAGAGGTAAAACCGCCAATACAGATTTATTTGGCAGCTTTGGCCTTGTAGGCCTTTTTGGCCTTTTTGGCCTCTTTGGCCTTGGCTTTGCTAGCCGTGTTGGCCCTTTTTGTGGCCAGTTTTATAGCTTCCTTGGTGCTACGCTTTGGTTTAGCGTTTTTGGAGGCCTTTTTTTCTAAATTCCTGATCATCTTTATGACCTCTTTGATTTCCGCAAAATCAGGATTTTTGGCCTTAAGGCAGGCATCCCTTCTGTTGCGGAGGGCTTCCAATCCGTTGATAGCTGCGTTGCCCACTGGGCCTTGTTAGCTTTGACCCTTGAAGGTTGCAATAGGCAACCTACTTGTAAGTTGGCGTGCGACCCCATATGGTATTGACCCCATCTGTTAACGTGTTCCCAGGTGTTGGGCTTGTAAGTCCAAGACTCCTTCCACTCCAGCTGGAGTATTGTCTCACTTTTGACGCGGTGTCGCTGATAGGTTTGGTAGCTTGTCATGCTTGGTAAGTTTAATTATTGTCCATGGTGCCTGAAGCCTAGCCCTTGCGTCGTTGATTTGTCATGAAATCAATTTTATACTCGCCCAGGCTAACATTTGCAGAAGGTCATCTTGTTGTTGTTGGTGAGCCGGTCCAGTCAATCTTGTTCCGCAAGGGCTCACGTTGACAGGTCTGTACTTTGTGCACAATAGTTTGTAGATAGCTGTGGTGGATGTCAGCAAGGTAAGCCCTTCTCCCTGAACATGTCGCGCAAAGAAATAGTCTACTAACAGCCTAGCGAGCGGTTGCAGTGCTTGTGGGAGATGTGTGTGTGTAGGAGCAGCGACTCACGATTGGTTGTGTTAGTACTGTTAATCTTAGTATTTGCTGATAATAGATTTTTTACCTGTTAATCTTAGCATCCGCCGATGACAGATATTTTACTGATGCTAATGTGCAGTTGTGGCAGGGTCTTGATAGCAGAAGAGTATGTTATGTTTCTATACCCCTTGTACTTGATGGGTCACTAAATTTCACCGTTGACATAGGGCAGATGACTTGGATGCAGGATCGACTCGGAATGCGGGAGAGGTGGGTCAAGATTTTGTTTCCTCTTGAGATGTTATATGCGCTTATCTCGGTTCAGGGCAGACCTTGCAGATATATACTGCGTGTGTGGGCATTTTAGGTTTTCGGCGTGACTCGGCGTGAGTCACGGCCGCGAAGTCAGTAGGTTTACGGCAAGTGAATGGTGATTTTATCTGTTATATAGATTATTAATTTTTTACTAGCGACAACATACAAGGTTTGACTACATGACAGTAGCTGAAGCTATCGCGAGGTGGCCGCGACTAGCGGGCCACGGCGCGGCACCAATTGCGCTGGTACGTCTGACGCGTCACGATGCGTGTACGTATGTGTCGCATAACCTTTTAATTCTAAAGTCAAGTACTAATAGCTCATAGAGATGGTCTACTTTTCTAGTCTCCTACTGTCCTTGGCCTGGTACAGCCCAATACTGTTTTAGATTTTACGCTTGCACGATACTAGTATTATGCGTGTAATTTCATTTGACTACAGAGCGAAACAACCAATAATTAATATTCAAGTAGGCGTTGTACCACGCTGAAAACGTTGGTGGGTTTATTCATTCCTTGAGCGACTCCCAGCAGCCCAACATTGTATCACTAATAACAATACGATTTCAGTCCCTCGCGCCCCTGGGCTCTATATAATCCTTCGTTTATGGGAGCACGGGTTCATGTTGAGCACCCTCGCGTGTGCTCGCCACAGGCGAGGGTGCTCAACATCAGCCTACCGAGACAGACCCTTGCGGATTTATGTATGGTAATCTCGCCGAGGTGTCTGTACGATGGCGCCTTGGTGAAAACCCGGGCCAGTCGTCAAATCGGTTATATCAATTGAAGCTATATGAAGGCGGAAATACACGGATTTTTACGTTATTTTCAAGTTATAAATAGCTCTACATTTTACGACAAAGGTTATCTTGACACTGGCGGTTGATTAGGTCCAGCCACAGCTGAACGCGGTGATTACGCCAGGTGGGTGTGCCAAGCAAATTGACCCTCTAGGAGTTTATTTTTTAGTATCTCTTTAGTTGCGAAGTGCCTCGCAGAGATTCCATGTCTCCGCCGTCTGGTACAATTTTCTTAGGTAAGCGGGTCTCTATGGGCCATTTCATGGCTAAAAAGATGGTGCGTAGAGCCTAGGGACGAGTCAAACGAAAAAAAAGAAAATGCAACCCTGCCATGAACCGTCCTCGTCCTGTGTGCATGTTTGCTTGTAGTTGACACGTCTCGAGCAGGAATTCCTCGCATTGCAAGCCACATCGTCCGGTTGGTGCACGCACATCAGACACCACATCGGGCTGTGACTCACTTCGCCGGACTGGTCATTGGTTCAACTTTATTTCTTTGGTCCCCACACCTGTAGCCCACACTTTTTGCCATCAATCGACGCATATATACTACACAAGCCGCCAGCCGACCTCTTCTTGCGCAGTTTGCAATGCTTTATCCATGTCTGGCTTTTCCTCCCTCGCACATCTTTTCCGCCATTACCCCAGGTCCTTCTTGTTCTGAGCCATTCATTACCAACGCATCCTGACCGGCCGCTTCTGCCCCTGCCACCATGGCACCCCGCCCGCCGCTGCATTTCCTCGATCTGCCGCCCGAGATCCGACACGCCGTCTACAATGCCTACGTCGACGTAGATGGAGGCTACGTCGTCAATCCCCGAACCAATAAGCTTGTCGCTGCGACCGGTAATCAGAAGCACGACTATGCCCTGCAGCTCACATGCAAGCAGATTGCCCGAGAGATGAGCGGCCTCGCGCTTAGTCGCAATACGTTGCATTTTAAAGTAGAATATTCAGACGAGGAGCGCATCTCAGCCGCTCGTTTTGACGCGACAATGGCCATCTCCCTAGTTCGCCTCGTTGAGTTTCTTTCACCTGACCAAGACGGCGGGGTTGACTTCACGCAAGATATCGAAGATGAGGTGGTCGGAGAATTTCCTCCCATGCGACCAGTTTTTGCTGCCATTGACGATCTCCCTGACACGTACGGCGACCTTCAACTTAGCATCGCGGAGGACTTTGCCATTCCAGTTTCCGTCTTCCTCAGAGCGGGGTGGCGGACCTTTGGACTCGCAGTGAAGCAGGGCTCAATCCCAAAGACTCATTCCATGCTTTCTTATTCTGATGCGGAGAGGGCATATGCGGTGTCTCAAGAGTTTTGGCCTTGGCATTATAATCCATCCAGAAAAGACTTTGCGAGAATGTTTGGTAAAGCCAGGATGGTCCGACGACAAGGTTACCGATACTGGCTAAAGCCTCACCTCGATGCAGACGGCACGCGGCAGTTCACTCAGGGGAAATACAGGTTCTCTGCTGCATCCAAGGCTGTACGATTTCTCTCGCAGTGTCCGAAACAGCTTAGAATGCAACTACGACGCATTTGCCTTCATGAGACTTCTCATAGCGTTGCATTCCCAGAATGCCATGCTCTAGGACTAATACCCTTTTGCCAAGAAAACCCCTGCCTCTATGTCGAGCGTCGTGTAAATATATGGAGAACTCTTTTACAAACAACATACGCAGATAGCTGCATTCTGATCTGGGCTCCAGAGCTTGAGTGGCAATATTTTACACATCCCGAGCATACTGGTAGAGAAGAGTCTGCAAATGGTGCGAGGCTTGCCAGTCATAGAATAACGCGCGTGTTTTCTCGCTGGGCCATGGAAGCGCTGGAACTGGTCCGTTCGGGGATGCCACGGCGCTCCTTTAAATTGGTTTTGGACGGAGACCCTGCACCGCAGCTAGCCACTCGCTTGTTTCGGGACATAATCCAGCGTGATGCGACGTGGCAGAGGGTACTCGAGGCTTCGTGGAGTGCAGTGGAAGAACAACACCCCACGGTAGATATATCTTTGATAAGGTCTCATAAAGGAGGGTGTAAGTGGACAGTCCATGGTAGTGTCGAGCTTCACTGACACCAGTTACAGATTCTTTCGACGGCTTTCCGGACATGGTAGACGCTATAGCGGGCAATAAGCATGAGCTCATCGAGTGTGCCTTCGAAATAGGGCCCAACCCTTGGGATGAAACTCCTTTGTACAGGCAATTTCGCTGTTTCCCCCCTGGCCTAGAAAGGTTTGAGGCAGCCGCCGGGGCATTTGTTGACCAGCCTGCCCAATTCTTCGATTTACCTCACCCACTACCGTCGTGGACGGATCTTTTGGCAGAGAACATTTTGCCCGAGTTTTTCAATTCGGATACAGAATTGGACCAAGTTGAAGCCGTCGATCTATATGATGTCATTAACGACGTGGAGCCAGATACAAACGAGGATGATCTTGTTGCAGATAGCACTGACACGAGTGACGACGAGGATGACGCTGCCACGAGTAACGACGAGGGGGACAGCGATGGCGAATCACCTCCCGGCGACGATTCAGAGGCCGAAGAGGATGCACGCTCATACGACGGAGGCGAAAACGATGACTAGAACTCATCAGGCGGGAAACCCCGCAGGCTCCAAGGATGCTCGCACACGGTCGGAAGGCGCTGCATTCAAGCAAGAGCAAAATTGGAGCGTAGAAGAGTAGGAAAGTGGCAGAGGACAGCTGCAGGACATGACTACCTACCTAGGTATAGGTAGGTAGTCATATGGACAGGAAACCCAACCTTGGGCGTCCCTGCAGTAATCTCGCCGAGCAGATTCGGATGGACTTGCAAGAAAAGGGCATGCATCTGG